AGTATTAATCTTTACTCCTACTTCCTTCAGTATTAATCTTTACTCCTACGTCCTACAGTATTAATCTGTACTCCCACCTCCTACAGTATTAATCTTTACTCCCACCTCCTACAGTATTAATCTGTACTCCCACCTCCTGCAGTATTAATCTTTACTCCCACCTCCTACAGTATTAATCTTTACTCCTACTTCCTTCAGTATTAATCTTTACTCCTACCTCCTACAGTATTAATCTTTACTCCCACCTCCTACAGTATTAATCTTTACTCCCACCTCCTACAGTATTAATCTTTACTCCTACCTCCTACAGTATTAATCTGTACTCCCACCTCCTACAGTATTAATCTGTACTCCCACCTCCTACAGTATTAATCTTTACTCCCACCTCCTACAGTATTAATCTGTACTCCCACCTCCTACAGTATTAATCTTTACTCCCACCTCCTACATTATTAATCTTTACTCCCACCTCCTACAGTATTAATCTTTACTCCCACCTCCTACAGTATTAATCTTTACTCCCACCTCCTACAGTATTAATCTTTACTCCCACCTCCTACAGTATTAATCTTTACTCCCAAAAAATTGCTATTAAGAAATTCAGCTACATAGAGAGTTATAGGTAATAAAGAACATACATAAACTTCTTATGGAAAGGCAACATTCATTTCTAGCAAATTTTCTACAGTTTATATAACTATTTTTTACTCCTTAATTACAATTTGATTACCATTTTAGGGGCCTAATTGATAATTAGGCAATTTTTGTTGGAAGACTCATCAATAATCATCAGACACTTATTATATATTTTTTAAAACAATGTAAAATTTTAATTGAATGATTAAAATAGTTGAGTGTTATGATATGAAGGGATCCGATAATTATTAATGTGTTCAACAACGCTTCTAAAGCTTTTTTTTTTTTTTTTTTTTTTTACATATACCAAACTTCCTAATAATTATGGATATAAGGAATCTCTGTTATAAGAAAGTAACAATCAATGTCCCCAGAATTTTTTATAACCAAGTTTTACTGTAATATTAAACTTTAATTATTCCCATGTCTTAATGCATGGAAACAACCTAAATCTAGTGTCATGATTTCTTAAGTAGTTGAATGTAAATCTAGAATCAACCCCAAATATTCTTGACAAAATATTAAAATATTAAAAAAAATTTGGCGGAATTGCATTTTGAACAAATTTGAACATGGGGAGCCCACCCACTTTTTTCTGAGTATAGTATTTTGCTGTAAAGTTGAGCACTGACAAATTCTAGAATTGGGGCAGTTAAGAAAGGGTTTTTTTCAGATTATTTGGAGAATTTGCCCCCCCCCCCCCCCATTTTTGAAACCATTGCTATGGGCCTGGTTTATACTTTGAACCTTCCCCAGTCCATCTAGAAATTCTGGGTGTAATTTAAAGAATTTAAATTCTATCAAATTTAATGGTATTAATTGGTGTCATTCCTAGCAGAGTTCAGCTCTATTAAAGTAAGAATTTTGTTAATGAACAAAAGAAATGAACTGTCTCTGTCTAGTTCCAGAAATGATGGATTAACAATAGCTATATATAGAGCTTCAGTCTGCATTAGGGACTGCATCACAGGAAATTAATCCATTAAAGTCAGCACCCTGGAGGATTCTTACTGATTGTCCCAGCTAATTGTGGTTGTAATTTGAATGGCTGAAAACCCTACCGTGATGTGATTGTGCATTCAAAGAGCTGCTTTAATGCCATTGACATTAAATACACTGATAATGAGAATTTAAGATATTATTATAATGAGGTATTGACAAGTACGTTCCGTAAATCACAGTAATGTTTATTCAAGAGAACTTTTTGCGTATTTTCGCAAGGTCTTCTATACAGAAAAATTCAATAGTATTACTTGTGAACATTAAGAGGAATAAATTCATACAACACATTCAAAGATTTATAAATTAGTACTTTGTTTTGACTGTTATTCACTTGATACAGAGTAAATGTTTTTATTGCTTTCCATGTACTAGCTGCAATAATGTAGCCCTCTCTGATTTTTTTTTTTTTTTGGGGGGGGGGGAGAGGCTCTCCTGAAATTTTCAGATTAAAAAAAAATCAGAGAGGACTACATTATTGCAGCTATCCATGTACGTGCAGTTTTTCTAAAGGACCCAGGTCTTGATGTGAACTTTTTGAGTGGTTTATTTGGCAAGTAAATTCACTTGCTTGAATGAATTTTTTTGGTTGTTTTTAGAAAATTTTAGAATGTAGCGAGCTAGTTTTACCTTTCTATGGTTCATTGACATTGAAATTGACTTTAATTGGAAAACTATAAATACATTTAATGAATATTCATCATTGGTGCAAGTGAGAGTGAGTTCCATTTATTAGGGCCCAGCATAAAATGCAGGAGCCCTGTAGGAATCACACTGTCTGTCCATTTACAACATTTGTTGTGATGCAATAACTCAAACAGTTTTCCACATAAGTATTTTAAATCATATTACTTTTTCTATCTGTATGTATGTGTGTTTGTATTCATTGTCAAACAATAACTCAAGCAGTGTTCATCCTAACTATTTCAAATTTTATACTGAAGGAGTTAACCGCAAGTGAAAAATATCCATTTATTTTATCAAGGATTCATAATGTCTACTGAAGAGTTTGAAATGACTTTTCAAAGATATGTAATGTCTAGTTTAGAATGCCTAATATCTAGTTAAGAATTAATTTCTAGCTGAATATCCATTTTGCATTATATCTTTTCAAGGATTTGTCATTATCTAGTATGGGATTCATATAGTCAAGGATGTGTAATGTCTAGTAAAGGATTCATAATGTCAGGTAAAGGATTCATAATATCTAATTTGTTATGTCAAGATCGTTATGTCTATTCAGGGATTTGTATTGTCTATTCTGGGATATGTTTAGTCTGTTCAAGGATTCATAATGTCTAGTTGGTGTTTCATAATGTCTAGTCGAGAATTTGTCATGTCTGTTCAAGGATTATCTAGTTGAGGATTCTTTTTAAAATGTGGAAGATTCATAATGTCTATTCAAGGATTTTAATGTCTGATTAAGATTTGTAATGTCTACTTGAAGATTTATTGTATCTATTCAAGGATTCATAATGTCATGTGTAAAATCCTTAGAATATTGTCTAGGATTTGTAGTCTCTAGTCAAGGATTATTAATGTGTAGGATTTGTAATGTCTGTTTTAGGATTTGTAATGCCTAGTCAAGGATTATTAGTGTGTAGGATTTGTAATGTCTATCTTAGGATTTGTAATGCCTTGTCAAGGATTACTAATGTGTAGGATTTGTAATGTCTGTTTTAGGATTTGTAATGCCTTGTCAAGAATTATTAGTGTGTAGGATTTGTAATGTCCGTCTTAGGACTTGTAATGCCTTGTCAAGGATTATTACTGTGTAGGATTTGTAATGTCTGTCTTAGGATTTGTAATGCCTGGTCAAGGATAACTAATGTGTAGGTTTTGTAATGTCTGTTTTAGGATTTGTAATGCCTAGTCAAGGATTATTAGTGTGTAGGATTTGTAATGTCTTAGGATTCGTAATGCCTAGTCAAGGATTATTAGTGTGTAGGATTTGTAATGTCCATCTTAGGATTTGTAATGCCTAGTCAAAGATTATTAGTGTGTAGGATTTGTAATGTCTATCTTAGGATTTGTAATGCCTGGTCAAGGATTACTAATCTGTAGGATTTGTAATGTCTATTTTAGGATTTGTAATTCCTAGTCAAGGATTACTAATGTGTAGGATTTGTAATGTCTGTCTTAGGATTTGTAATGCCTAGTCAAGGATTATTAGTGTGTAGGATTTGTAATGTCTATCTTAGGATTTGTAATGCCTGGTCAAGGATTACTAATCTGTAGGATTTGTAATGTCTATTTTAGGATTTGTAATTCCTAGTCAAGAATTACTAATGTGTAGGCTTTGTAATGTCTATTTTAGGATTTGTAATTCCTAGTCAAGGATTACTAATGTGTAGGATTTGTAATGTCTGTCTTAGGATTTGTAATGCCTAGTCAAGGATTATTAGTGTGTAGGATTTGTAATGTCTATCTTAGGATTTGTAATGCCTGGTCAAGGATTACTAATCTGTAGGATTTGTAATGTCTATTTTAGGATTTGTAATTCCTAGTCAAGAATTACTAATGTGTAGGCTTTGTAATGTCTATTTTAGGATTTGTAATGCCTAGTGGAGGACTCATGGTCTTCTTTTCATGTAAATTTTCTCATGTCACTAAATTAACAATTTTCTAATTTCACCATTATTCAATGTAAATACAGTAAAACTTGTATAATCCAGATGTTGTGTATTCCGAAATCTTTCCTATTCCAATCGAAACTTTCAGTCCCTTTCAGTTATAAATCAATTGTCTTAAATGTTGTCTAATCTGGAACTTTGTCTAATCTGACTTTTGTTTTGGAACCAGTGGTGTCCTGATAATACAAGTTTTACTGTACATTGTTATCAGATGGATATTAAGTGATGGGTGGTACATAAAATTGAAGTCAAGCTTAAACTGATAACCAAAAGTCTTACAAATTTAATGATTAATGGATGCATAATTTAACTGGACCCTTCATCTTAAAAAGTATTAGAGTGCTGCAACTGGTATTGAAAACCCAAATTCAAAGTCCTTATATGTTTCTTTTATTAAAACCATATTCAAAGACCAATGAACAGTTTGACTGCAATTGAGCAAACCTCATCTGGATAGTGTACAAGACTGTAAGACAGATTAGAAAGGGATCAGACAGAGATCAGAGAGGGATCAGTTGTCAGTATTTGGTTTAAATATGATCAATAAAAAAATTAGTTGTCTGACCATCCATCTGGTTTAAATATGATCAATGGAAAAATCCTGCAAAACAGTGTCATCAATTGACTTGTGAATGAATAATACATTGTGATAAAGTACATGTAGAGATACATTGTGATAAAATAGTGTTCTCATTCAATAATATTGAAAAACAACAGACATAAACAATCTAAAAAAATAATATCAATAAACTTTATTTATCATACAATAAATCAGTGGTATAAACTATATATTTTTTATTTCCTATGTCAATGTGAGAGTGATTGAGATTGCTTTGAGTTCAATATTCTTACAATACAGCAAGTGGGAGGCAAACAGATGAATAAAATTCTCATAAAATAAGAAAACAACCAATTTCTGCCAAATTATAATAAGAATTTACTTAGGTAATATTTTCCCAAAAACTATGCAGTAATTAATGATTTGCGGCTCTTTGAAATTTTGAACAAGTTCCTTGATGACTTGCACAACTGAAAATTCTTAATATTTATAGTTTATCCTTTCATGCTACTATGGAGGAGCCTCGTTTCGCTTCTTTGTATGCCACGTAAGGATTCCTTAGAATTGCATGGGACTTGGTAATGCATCTGTTTTTTTAGACAACAAAAAATTTCTTTGTATGTCCTATGGAATTTTTTACTCATCACCATGTATATGAAGAAGTTCAGTGAACAATTAAGGGTCTCAAGAAAGTAAGCTACATAGCTGAAACACTGAAAGGCATAACGATATTGTCCAGTCATTGTATACCCGTCTGCGTAATGTGATAGAATGCTTTGCATAGCACCCGGCAAAGTACACAGCACAAACAAAAGCGATATCGTTACCAGCATCAAAGTAATCCGAGTTTGTTCATTGGAATAAATTTTCGCGTCAAGTGTTCCCATGAGTTTGCGGGTTGAGCAGGTTTTTCGGGTGATTATGATAATCCTACAGTTTAGAACTAACACGAGTATTATCGGTATAAATCTGTACACAATATTTAATATTATTCCATAGACTTCGAAAAAAGCTTTATTTTTTCCAAGTTTTGAAAGTGTGAGATGCATTCCTGTCAGAGTCGTTTGTGTTGCATTCTTTTGATCGTACACGATCTTATATTTAAATGCATAGGGAAGAAAAACTATGGACGTCACCAAACAAATTGCAATCAGGCACGCTAATGTGCAGCGTGTGTTACAAATCAGTTTTGCACGTATTGGGAAACAAACGGCGATAAATCTTTCTATGGTTAAAAGAAGGATCAGACAGGAGGAAATTCGGGCTGCGACTAAGCTGGCGTAAGCTCCAAACCATGGGTACAACATCTGACTTCTTTGTTCACCGAGGGCTGAGTCTAGCTCACGCTGAATGTTGGTCCCAACGAAAAGTAGACTTTGTGCTAGAAAACCAAGATCGGCAAGAGCTAAAGCCGACAGACAAAAGTTGGTCGGGTTTCTCATTCGATTGTGATAAAGTACAGCAAGGCTGAGGATGTTTCCCACAAATCCAAAAACAGAAAATATAGGAATCAGTCCAAACACAAAAATCCGCCACACTATATCTAGTGTCTCATTTGTAATCACGTGCAAATCACTTTTGTTTTGAACAGTTTCGCATAGGGAGTCGTCTGCAGAGAGAATTCCAAAAGCGATGTGAAGCCCCGATGAATCATGCATCCTTTCAAATTTCCAGCAGGTTCAAGTTTTGGAATAAAGCAACTATATTTCCTTGAAATCTTTAAAAAAATAACAATACACTGTACCTTTAATATTTTGTGTCAAACTCAATAGTATTTGTGAACAATTGTTAGAAAACCTCTTCATATTATGCAGCAGTCACTTTATGCATAGAAATTTGATTGCCTTCATTAAATTGATTATAAAAAGTCAATTTTTACAAGGCTAGGTAAGAAAGATTTCCTACCTTTACGACTAGATTAGCCATTATGCTGTGTAAGTCTGACTGGTACCTCCATGGTTAATGATATTTACAGGAGAAGAAAGTCATTGGTCTGTCAAACCTATTGATTTTACGAAATAAATGTCTTCCTGTGGATTCTGGAACGTTTCCCTTGTTCGTAGAGATTGATGTGGTCTAATCGATTCAATGAGGGTGCATCTAATATCTAATTCATGAAGAAGAAAAAAACTCTTAATACTGTTAAAAGTTTAATTATATGTTCTTTTGATTAACCTTACTCATAAATTTTTAAAAGCTTTGAAGATGGAATAATGATTGCGCTGAAAATGAAGCAAAGGAGAATAGAAGAGCAGTTTATTTTAGAATTTAAAGATTATTCTTTATTTACTATTAATTAGTATTAATAAAGTAAATAAATATATTTTAAAAAATTGAAATCTTTTGTTTAAAAATTATTCTAACCTATTTGTCCGCGGGTACGTGAAAAAGATCAGAATGTAGGAAAATTCAAGGCCTCATTCAAATTAAGTCAGCTGGTAGAATGCGTGAGATGCTGTGTCCTTGGATAAATGTGTCCTTGACGCCGACTGATGACGTCACTAATCGGATTCAAACATTTCCACAATTTTTACAAGATTTCTTTACTTCCTGATCAGTGCTCTATTTTACGAATATCACGTTAATAGACCATAGATATATTGTACATGTATGTACTGGTAAAATTTTTAAAAACAATTTACCCAAGTTTCTTAAACAATCATGATTATTGTTACATCATCTTTTATCAAAATTGACAGGTTAAAACAAACACATTTTTTTAAAGTGCTTTTGGTGAACTTTTTTTCAAGCAACGCACAGAGATTCACAAACCAGTCATTATCAAAATCGAATACATGTGTATATGGAGTGCATGTACTCAGTATATTCATGTACAAGTGCATATGTATTTATTGAATTTATTGTGATATCTTCGACTGATTTTCCATGCAATATATAAAAGTAAAGCATTAATTTTTGCTATTGAAAAGTTTATCACTGGAAAAGTGGATGTAGCCTCGATTCAAAGTTATTATTGTTATGAAATAATAAAGTCAGCAAGACTAGTTCTCCTTGGATAGACGTATTTTCTGAAATAGAACCAGAATCTTGTTAACTCCCCCAAAGATACACTTTTGTACAAATGTACTTCAACGGTTTTGTTAATTTCATATTGTTCATCCTGTTTATTTTGTTGCGTGTTCGTCCAGCTGAGCGGTGTACAACTGAAGATCAGGGGTTTCATTTTAGTAAGAATTTATATTTCCCCCCATCATTAATACGAGAAGTGCTTTCTGCTAATTATTACGTAATTTAAAGTTCTAAAACCAAGTTCATTAAATTATCTTAATAAAAGAATAATTGCCATTTCATGATTTTTTGCATTTTATTATAAATCCGATAACAGTTCCAGTGAGAAACAATACACCATAAGAAACTTGCACTTAAAGAAATGATAAACGACAAGAAAACACAACAAATTGTTGATTTAATGATTGTATATATTGTATTGTCCCGTTCGAGAATTTTTCACTCATATAGAGACGTCACCATATACCGGTGAAGGGTTTCAAATTTAGACCTTTACTTGGCACTCAAGGCCATTCAGCGCCTACCGTTATTAAGGTCTCATCCGAAGGATCCACAACTTTCAATTCAAAGTGCTGAACACTTGGCGAAGGAACATTTATCGACTTAGGTCAGTCGCGGCCGTGATTCGAACACACTTTCCGATCACGGAGCGAGCGCTCTACCAACTGAGCTACCTTGACGGCTACACAACAACTGGGACGCAGAAAAGATACATGCACTTAGCATTAATTTTGGTTTATTGTCCATAACTTCAAGATACGTTATTTAGTGTTTTTTTTTTTTTTGGTCATCTACCAGCAAATGTAGGAACTAGAGATGTCAATTTTACTCGGACAGCTTTGTCGAATAGTCGGAGGCTTTAGTCGAACGATAGTCGAGTACTCGTTGAAATTTAGATTAATTTTTCATGTTATTTTTTCTATTTGTCTTGAACAGACTGCTAGCCTGTACAATATTTAATCTACACTATCACAGTAATACAAGGAGTTATTATGGAGTATATACGAGAGTTAGTCCATTTTTTTTTTAGATTTATGGTGGATCCAAGTCTCTACATAGTCGTTTGGACCTTATCTGTTTTTAATCAGAAAATGCTCAGCTTATACATAAACTAAAAATGAAATGCATTTGAGGACGCTCTAAACACTAACGAAAAATGACAATTACTTATAAAAAGTGTCAATTTGATGTGGACCGACACCAGCGATTACAATGGCCTTGACCTTTGTTATGACTGAATCATGTGAAAACCTCAACAGTGTGAACTATCAAGAACTTTTTTTTTGCTTAAATATATCAACTGTATGACTACCTTGTGTCAGGTTAACAAGAAACCTTTAATATTGTAAGATTTCACTTGTGACTTGAAAAATTCCTCTGGGTGCAATGTAGATGTCTTTCCTTTAGAGGGTGGTTATGCTTTCACCGTTAAAGCAATTAGACGTTTTGCAGGAAAGGAAACATTCTTAGAAATAAAGCATGTGCAGTTTATTGATATGTTTGATTGATGTATTTTTACATTTCAGTGGATGTACATTGTTCCGATCGTCCTGGTGATGATGTTGTCAGGAGGTGGAGAACAGCAAGGTCAAGGTGGGGGCGGCGGGGGAGGAGGAGGAAGTTAGTGATCATGTGACATATCATGTGACGGTTAACCTTATACAAGCAGACATGTTGCTGGAAGCGTTATTGTTGGGAATATTAGGGAGCTGAAATATGGCAATGGGGGTCGAGTTTAATCATAATCTGTTGGTGATCGTTTTTACAACATATGATTTCGATTCAGTTTGTAGGGAAAACAATATGATATCTATTACTTTTTTCTTTCTTTTTTATGATACCCTTTATGATAAGTATGAAATAAATATAGATAATAAAATACTTTGTACGTCTCATAAAGGCTGTGAACTTTCATAATGACCGTAAGGAATAGCTTTTTATCATAAATATTGATTGTAATCAAGAATTATATATCATTTGCATGTAAACAACACTATGTTTGTGACATTACTCAGTATGTGCGCTTGTGTATGATTTACATGTATGTATGTCGTTGGAGTGGTAATTTTTGTGTAATGAGATCACTTGAATAGAAATGGAGCGTATATGTTTCAAAGTAAATTTTTCTGAAATGAAATCAGAATACTGACCAGTGACCACAATGTTACCATATATTGCATGGTTGGAAAAATGTGATCTGTTTTCCGACTTCATTTCATAATGCTATCATTAGTCCGAAATATCTGACGTTTTCCAGGCTTTTTTACGATTTTGATATTTGACGTGCCTGGAAAACCAGGCACGTCAAATATCAAAATCGTAAAAAAGCGATTTTGATATTTGACGTGCCTGGTTTTCCAGGCACGTCAAATATCAAAATCGTAAAAAAGCCTGGAAAACGTCAGATATTTCGGACTATGCTATCATGTGTATAGATAGCATGTTCTATTACATTATACGAGTATATATACTCTTATGTATCCTTTTCCTGCAAAGTAATAATAATTGGCTGATTATTTATTTTTAGTAAGATGAAAAATATGTATTTTGAAGTTCATACGAACACTTCTAGATTCATCGCTGTTTTCTGTTAGGAAGAAATTGTCTTAATTGTGTAAAAGTGTTGTAGTGGAATAAACGTGTATTTCATCTTGTGCGTGTTTTTTAACTTACATTTTGTATATGTAAAGTTTCTTCTAAGAAATTGTACCCTAAAAAATCGAATGCATCAGCAAGAATGTATATAGTAACGTAAGTATATAGTAACGCAAGTATATACTTCAGTAGGTCCCTGGTATCAGTAAACGATCCACGTGTGGTAAGTATGCCTTCAATCCTATGGGAGAGTTCTCTGGACAGATTCATACGTAGTATTTCTCTATCATCATATTATAAGGAGTTATTCATAATCAAAGGGTAACACTGTTTTGTTTTTTTTTAAAGAAAAATAAGGTTAATCCTGAAGATAAGTAGGGGAATTTCGCTGGAGACCTGAAATGGTTAACAGAAAAATTAACGGAAAAGAAATGTTTTAGAAACATACATGTCCCCATTGTATCAATATTTTAAAAAGGATGAACTTTAAATTTAGAATGTCCGTGATGATAGTGAAAATGCTGTTTATCTACTTGTCATGAGCAACCACAATACAAAGTTTGATCCCGTCATGACCTTTAACCTTGTGACTTGAAACCAATGGGTTTATCAACTCCTTCGTACCAACTGAGCTCTCTCGATATTGAGCGGACAACACTTGGTCTACCGACAGACAATATGTCTCCTTTTTTCAAAGGGGACATAAAAGATGAAAAATGTCCATCAGTAAAAGTAAATTTGACCTTGAAGGTCAATATTATGCGTTTCGCAAGTGAAATATCCCGTAAGAGTTCCCATTTACACGCATTTTTACTTCTAGTAAAAGCAGTTTGACGTTTAGATGAAACTTATGTTTAGACCAAAGTGAAGAGTTTAAAAAAAATTCATCACCATTTTTGCACGTAAGAGAAACACATGGTCCATTGATTCATATGTCGACTCGAAATAACTGAAACATCTGTTTCATATTTGGATAAAATACTAGAAAAAGACGTTAATGGTAACCTTAGAACAGAACTTAATGATAAACGCGATGACTTCAACTTTTCTAGATCGTTAACTTCCTTTATTTATGTAGCAATGTACCTTATCACCTGCATATGGAATTTCTATCTTCTGATTCGATACGCAAAAGCATGATTTACGCACAACCAATTCCTAAAACGAGCCAAGCTATAAACAATACCTTTGTGGAGGGAGGAATGTGGGGGCCAGGCGGGTTCAATCGCCGGTGGCCAGAGAGCTCAGATGGTAGAGCACCTGTCTGGAGATTCAGGGGGGTGGGGGTCGAATCTCGGTCTGGTCCGTCGCATTTTTCTCCTCTCCTGTTACACAGTATCAGAAAAGTTTCAATAATTTAAATTTTGAATGTTGAAGGTTTTATCGTGTTATTATATCGACCTGTTTCTATTGCCAGTTGGTGTGGCATTTAGTTTTAGGTCACCTGAGCCTCTTAAGTGACGTATTGCTATCTGTCTTCGTCCGTCGTCCTGTGACGTCTGTTAGTTGATTAGCAAAAGAGCCTTTTTCAAATTGTGAAATTCATGACCCCAGGGTCAGGTGTTCTAGTTTTAGAATGGGTATCTATATAGATCATGTACTGAAAATGCATAAACATCTTTAAAATCTCCTCTCCCTCGTTTATTCAGCAGACAAAATATGTGCAAAGATATAATGAGCAAGAGTGCCTTTTCCAAATTTGTAAAATTCATGGCCCCTGTATCTGGAGTTATGGTGTAATTGATTGATTGATTGTATGTTGTTTTAGTCTCGTTCGAGAATTTTTCACTCATATAGAGACGTCACCATATACCGGCGAAGGGCTTCAAATTTAGACTTTTACTCGGCACTCAGGGTCATTGAGCAGCGAGGGATCTTTATCGTGCCACCGCCTGGCTGCCGTGACACGGGGCCTCGGTTTTTAAGGTCTCATCCGAAGGACCCGCAACTTTCACTTCAAAGTGCCGAGCGCTTGGCGAAGGAACAGTTGCTACCTATTTTTATCGACTTAGGTCAGTCGCGGCCGTGATTCGAACACACAACCTTCCGATCACGGAGCGAGCGCTCTACCGACAGTGGTTATGGTGTAAGGACGGGACTCTATTGATCCTATAGTGAAAATACATTAATTCTTTGAAAATCTTCTTCTCTGCTCCTGGGCATTTAACAGACAAACTAAGTGCAAGGTTTTGATGAACAAGGTCCCTTTTTCCAAAATTATAAAATTCATGGCTACTGGGTCAGGGGTTCTGGTATAAGGGTTGGGCTCTATTGATCGTAGAGTGAAAATGCATTGATTCTTTGAAATTTTTTCTCTGCTCCTTGGTACTTAGCAGACAAACTAAGTGCATGGTAATAATGATCAAGGGTGTTTCTTTCCTGGGACTGGGGTTCTGATGTTAGGGCGGGGCTCTATTGATCGTATAGTGAAAATGCATTAATTATCCGTAAACCTTCGCTGCTCCTTTGTAATTAGCCCACAAACTAAGTGCATGATTATGATGAGCAAGAGTGCTTCTTCCAAAATTGTGAAATTCGTGGCCGCTGGGTCAGGGGTTCTGGGGTTTAGGTGTGGCTGTATTATGATCATGTATGGAAATTTTTACTCTCAGACTGCTATATGATTCATTATCCCTCTTGTCACTTATACAATTATACCCCGATCTGAAGGAGAGGGGTATACTGTTTTACCCTTATGTGTGTGTGTGTCTGTCCGTAACAAATTTTTGTCGCAGTTTTCTCAGCAACTACTCTTCGCAGATGCTTGAAATTTTAGCACACTTTTTGTTTTGGCATGCCATATGGTGGGATTCATTTTTATACTAATCCGGTGTCAACTTCCTGTTTATGCGTGCGTCTGTCCTTACCAAATTTCCGTCGCCGTTTCCTCAGCATCTACTCATCGCAGATGCTTGAAATATGGTGGGATTCATTTTTGTACGAGTCCGATATCAAGTTCCTGTTTATCCATGCGTCTGTCCGTACCAATTTTTCGTCGCAACTGAACTTGTGTATATCCACATGTGAGCGCATACTAGTATTCACATCAGAGCGGGGTATTACTAGTGAGCATTAACTCACAGACTTCTTGTTTTTTTTCTTTCACCTTATTTCTGATTTTCCAAAAGAGATCTAATGCACACAATTTCAGCATAATTGCAGGACAAAATTTGACAGATATGACATTTTAACTTGGCAATTTCATAAAGGAATAAGACGACTTTTATCCTAGTTAGAGTTATCTCTCTTATCGAGTGTCGATAAACCTTAAGAGAAGTCATTCCCCTTTGTTATTCACTTATGAATTGATAATTAATCACTAGCTGTAAATAATGTAATTGATAGGTAAATCAATTTAAAAAAAAAACAAGAATTTCTAATGTATGGTATAAAATGTACTTTTATAGTTTTTAATGGTCAGGAAACGTGTAAATGATAGATAAATAACAATGAGACAAAAATAATTTAATTTTATACATTTAATGTTATTCAAAAACAAAAAAACCAACGGTTTGGAGGGTGTGCCGGGTTTACAAAGCTGTGTTTTATGCTAAGTTGCTAAGTTTGAGTATAGTGATTGAAAAGAGGATGCTAAAAAATCTTCTCAAGAACTACTGGACAGATTATTACTAAACTCATACATAAGGATGAGGATATATATAATTGTAGAATACAATTTGCTCAATGTATCACCTTAAGGAAAAAAGGCATGGTCTAAAGGTCACTTCAAAGTTGACCTTGTGATATTTTGTTAAAACCTTGATATTTTGCCAACTATAGGACTAGGGTCATCATATCCTCTTAGAACCTTAGGATATGTTGACCCAAAAGTAGGCCGCAATGACCCAGTTTTTGAATTTTGCAGCTATTTTTTTTTTAGATGTATATCTTGGACACAGTGAAACCTAGAATCATCAAACTTTTTCAGTTGATGCATGTTGGAAATTCAGGGTCTGACAATGAAAGAAAAAGGTTACAGTGACCTACTTTCTTAATTTTATGGCATTTAGCTCAGCATTTGGGATACCAATAAGCTTAAAATCATCAAACCTTATCAGCTGATGCATATTGGAACCCAAGGGAGTGTCAATATAAAAAAGGATCACCATGACCTACTTTCTAAATTTCACTGTGAATCATTTTAAAATCTTTTATGCTATATATTTTAACACTATGACTTGGCATGATCAACAAACATTAAAAGATGATACATCTTTGGGCCCCAAGATGTGTCAATTCAAAAGTAAGTCACCGTGACCTGCTTTTTGAATTTTTCATTATTAATTTTCAAATCTTTACATCTTTGATACCATGAGGCCTAGATCATCCTTGCCAGTGCCTCTTATGACCTCAGGATATGTTGACAGTGATCTACTTTTTGAATTCTCATATTGTTTTAGATGCAAACCTTTGAAACTGTGAAGTCTAGGATCATCAAGCCTTGTCAGTTGAACTTAATGCATCTTGAGGCCTCATAGTGTTGAAGAAAAAGTAGGTCACAATGACCTACTTCCTGAATTTTACAACTACAGTAAAACATGCTTACAGCAAACACACTTATAATGAATTGACGCTTATATAAGTGCTTTTCATTCCCCATGGGTTTTAAACATGTTGTGAAGGTAATGGATATAACAAATTACATTTATAACGAAGCAAAGTCAACCGTCCCTAGCACTTAGTTATAACAGTGTTTTACTGTATTCATTTTCAAAACATTTTAGCTGCTATTCCAGATAGAAGCAAATCTATGCCCTCAGGCTTCTTGTAATTTTTTTCTCCTTTTTTCAGTTGACAAACTTTGAAAAGACAGTAAACTTTATGAAATATATTAACTTTTATTTTAATAATTTTTTTGTTTCAATCTGTATAATTTGTAAAAAAAAAAATGAGAATTTTTGTTCAAAGTATCAACACACAATTGTTTTTTCTGTTTTGTAATGCTTTACATGTCAAGTCACGATGGCTTCGTCTCTAAATTGTTGGATATCATTTTGTGGTATTTGAAAAAACAGTCACGCACATGTGTTCTACACAGAGGAATTTCACAGACTGAGCACTTGTAGTAAGATTTCCTGTACTCGCCTGAAGCAAACTTTTTATTTTCTTGTTTACAGCAAACACAAACGTGACATTTGCCATGGTTGGAAATGAGCCTGTGTTCTGTACCTTCAGGGTCAATATAGGTTGCAATACACCTAGGGTTGTAAGCTCTTGTGATGCTCAAAATACTTCCCTGGTCTGCTTGCAAGTCTGAACCACTGTTTGTAATATCTGAAAATAATAAATTGTTGTCTACAGTTATATAGCATAAACATACTTATATTTATGAATAAATTAGGTATATTTTACAATCTACCTGGTACATAGTTTTAACATTCAAAAATGAAGCAACTAACTTTATGAACAACTGTAAACTGAATGAAATAAATGCATATGCACAAATAAAAAGTTTTGAAAACTGTATTCTCTTCAATTTATGCAACTCCAACCTCAAATATCAAATCATGTTCAATGTCATGTCGCTTATCTTTTGTTTAAAAGGAATTCACACCTCTTTCAGACATTTTTAAATTGTACTACAGATATGACTGTCACTTTTGTCAAGGGAGCAATCCAGCTCCATCTTTTAGCTGTAGCCAAACATATATGATTGACGATCATCTGCATATGAAATTAGGCTGGAGGATTTTTACCAATAGGGGTCCAAAGGTCCAAATAAAAGTGCTTTCCAAAGTAAGCATGTCACTTGATTTCCCACCGTTTTAGCAAAAACAGAACCCACTCTTTTAGCAAACAAATTCTTTCCACTTATGAAGCAATATTATATAGATGTTAGAATTGATCTTTTTTCAGTGGTATCCTGGGTTTTACTAGTATTTCTTATCCAAGCTTGTCACTTTAGCAGTTACCAAACAGTTGTAAGTTGCAGATAAGCATTAGATTTTGGGTGTTGTGACCTCTATTTGCAGAATGAGCAATCATGATAGCTGGAGCAAATCCCTCCAAGTAGTGTTACTCCTTTCTTTACCAAATGATCTAAACTTGCACTATATATGGAATGTGGCATCTGGGAATGCATACTCTCAGTGATAGTATGGATGCTATTTGTGACCTAGAGGAAATCAATATCAACTTCAGTTCTTTTCAGGTTAGCTCTCAGGAGGATACTAGTCTTGTAAAATACTATTGCAGATCTTTGAAGATGTAAAACAGCAAGTCAATGCAAGAGGTATTCAAATCTTACAAATTGCTTCAAGTAACCTACATTTCCAGACTAAGAGACCAATTTAATTCTCCATGAGTACAAGTCCAGTTTTTAACTTGTGATAATATCAAGTATGCACACTACAGATGAACTTTGGTTCTTTCCTAAAAAATAAAAAATTAATTTGATAATCAACTTCAAAATCTCAAGCCCAAAGATACCTCTCAGTCTGTTGACAATGTTTGAAAAATAGACATAGATTCAATATTTAATTTAAATGCTATAAGCTTATGGAGCAGTCAATGTCAGGTAATTATAATTCCTACATTGATCATTCTTACATGTATAAGCTTCCTTTATGACTGCATAATACCATCATGCTTTCAATGCTGCATGTGACCCGTATACAGTCGAGTCTGGTTGATCACAACACCAGATTTATTGGTGTCAGGATTAAATCGAGGCTCCACTGTATTCTGAGCAGCTGTATTACTTAGTACTAATCACATGTAAAATAATCACAAATCTTTCATAATCCAGATTTGATATGTTGGAATCCATTGCAAGCAGAATGATAATTCTCAGAAATTCAATAAAAAAAAAAATTAAACTCTTGCAAAACATCATATTGCAGGTATAACTGTCTTTCCTGACCATAACCTTTAGTTTAAAATATTTACAAAAATTTGATCTAATCTTGCTTTTTCATAAAAATTCTGCATCTCTTACTCCAGATTGTTTCTTGACTCATACTGTAGATTCCATTTTCTTCTGGATAAAAGTACAAGCAGAAGTGGCAAGCTCATACAGAAATTTGTTTCTACAAATATTTTTAATTAGGCAATTTCAAGTTTTTTCTTTGTTTAGCGTCCACCCTAAATTTGAAAACCTATCTTTCTATCCACAAACCAAAAGGGAGAAAACATAATATTATAAATACAATTCTAGAATTTCTCATCATCATTTGAAAATTCTCCTTGCATCTTTAAACTACTAGTTCATTGAAATAAAAAAATTGGTACATTTAAAAAAGAAAGATGTCAGTCCCAAGAGCGTAAATTGCATTTCAAAGATTTGTATTTGTAGATCTGAATTTGTGTTGGTTTTTAATTTCATAACCTCAAAACCAATCCACTTGTGGACGCTAAACATAGAAAAAACTTGGAATGGCCTTAAAAAAAACTGTACATTTTGAAACAGACAGTGGCCAGTCTACATCATCATGAAATCAAATCCACAAAAATGCTAATTCCAGATATCAGACAAGCTGCAATTATTTGAAATGCCTAGCTTGCACACTTGAAAGTTACAAATAATTCTTCCCATTCATATTCAAACATTTTAACAAATTTATTACAAATATATTTCATATATCTAATGTAATTCTGAAAACAAGACTAGAAGTCAAAATATCTTCACATTTAAAGCTAAAATGTACTAATTTGCACAATTTACTGATTAATACCAAAAAATCGAAATGTTTTTCAATCTATTGCACAACTACTTGAAAGTCCTTGTCCTTGCTGTTCACGCATTGGTATGAGTATACACTTCTTGTGTGTATTGTACCAGATGGATTATATTATAAAAATTATAATGTAAATAAAACAAACTAAAAGTACATGCAAAACATTACACACTTGGAATCTTCAGTAACTCTGACACTAAGGTACATATTTCTCGTGGAATTTGAAGAAACAGTCCAGCACTTGTGTTCTACACAATGGAACATCACAAAGGGAACATTTATAATAAGACTTCCTTATTTCTCCAGAAGCAAACTTGTTATTCTCAGTTTTACAATGAACACACTGCAGACACTTGGGGGCATGAGAGACAAGCCTGTGGTTAACTCCCCGTTTGTCAGTGTATGTGGCTATGAACTTCTGAGTTGAGGTTTCTGGGTTCCTTCCTCCAAGATAAAGCATTCTGGGATTGTTCATCACCTCTGAAAAGGACATCCACAGTTACTTTTGAATGTTCACCTTTATATCTGCTTTAACATCTTTTGAAAATGACTGACCAACCTATAGTCCTGACAATATTTTTAGCATTTATGTGTCATTACATATTACTTATATATATTCTCAATGTATTCTCTTTACCATCATGCTTTCAATGCAGCATGTGATCTGTATACTGTTGAGTCTGGTCAATCCCAATGCTTGTGTTTCCAAGTAAATCATCTGGATTAATGAAGCATGCAGATTAATGAATTGGACTTTGATGATTGGTATTATTTTTTTCCCAACAATTTCTTTTTTTCAGGAATGTGAAGCTTCCAGATTACTGATGTAAGCATTAATAAGGCTCTACTGTATTCTGAGTGGCTGTATTACTTCGTACTAATTACATGTAAAATAATGTAATCTTTCATAAGCCAGAATTGATGTGTTGGAATCCATTGCAATCAAAATGGTTCTGAGAAATTCAAAAAAAAAAAAACCATAAATGAAACTCTTGCAAAACATTATAGTGCAGATATAACTGTATTTCTTGACCATAACATTTAGTTTAAAATATTTACAAAAAATTTATCCAATCTTGCTTTTCCACAAAATTCTACATCTCTTACTCCAGACTATTACTTGACTCATACTGTAGCTTCCATTTTCCTCTGGATAAATATACAAGCAGAAGTGGCAAGCTCATACAGGTACAACTCTATTACAAAAAATTACAACTTCTACATTTCTTACAAATATTTTTTAAAACAAAAAACTTAACATTTTAAAACAATCACTGGCCAGTGCTACATCATCATAAAATCAAATCCACAAAATCTGTTAATTTCAGATATCGGATGAGCTGCAATAATTTGAAATGCCTAGCTTGCACACTTGAAAATTACAAATAATTCTTACATTTATAAATGTATTTTACATATCTAATGTAATTCTGAAAACAAGACTAGAAGACAAAATATCTTTTCATTTAAAGCTAAATTGTACTATTGCACAATTTACTGATTTATTATATTAATAATACCAAAAAATCAAAATGTTTTCAATCTATTGCACAACTATTTGAAAAGCCTTGTCCTTTCAACTCATGCATCGGTGCAAGTATACACTTCTTATGTATCGTACAAGATGGATTGCATTAATCATAATGTATACGGAACAAACTAAAAGTACAAACAAAACATTACACACTTGGAATCTTCAGTAATTCGGACACTATGGTACATATTTCTCATGGAATTTGAAGAAACAGTCCAGCACTTGTGTTCTACACAATGGAACATCACAAAGGGAACATTTATAATAAGACTTCCTTATTTCTCCAGAGGCAAACTTGTTATTCTCAGTTTTACAGTGAACACACTGCAGAAACTTAGGAGCATGAGAGACAAGCCTGTGGTTACCTCCCTGTTTGTCAGTGTACGTGGCTGTGAACTTCTGAGTTGAGGTTTCTGGGTTCTTTCCTCCAGAGTTTAAAACCATACTAGGACTGTTCATCACCTCTGAAAAGGACATCCACAGTTACTTTTGAATGTTCAGCTTCGCATTTGCTTTAACATCTTTTGAATACAACTCATCAACCTATAGTCCTGACAATATTTAAGCATTAATGTGTCATTACATATTACTTATATTTATTCTCAATACATTCTTTTTACCGAAATTTATTTAAACATGTGTACATGGGCAAATTCCTCTTATTATTTTTAGAATCCGTAGGGGAAGAAAGTAGTTCACTAAAACGAAATAGTTCCTTAACTTGCAAGCAGTATATAAAATAAGTAGGTCATCTGAACTAAAGATGCTTGATATACTATATGAAAGAAGAAAAGAAGAGAAAATTCCTTGTTCAAAACCATTTCCATTTTTGTGTCATCTTTGAAAGAAAAGGAATTGAATTGTTTGATATGTGCATACCCTGACTTTGGGAATTACCCTACTTTTACTTTCATTTTTTTTTTTGCGAAAGTGCATTTTGCCAGAAAACGAATCTGACATGCCACCTCGAGATTTTAACCAGTTAAGAGAAAATTTGACAAGCTTTCCTTTGAGGGGTGTCCAATCCTTAAAGAAAATTAGGGAAGGAGCTGTGTGAGAAATTGTTAACATTGTTGCCTATGGGAAATGTATTTAGTGGACTGAACCCACATTACACAGCATTTCCATGCACCCTGAATAAAAGTAGGTTTTAAATTTTAAAAATTTACTTATATAATAAAATAATTATTGGCTTGAAAAGATTTATGTGATCATTTAGTTTCTCTTGAAGGATAATATTCATCTTATCCCTAGGGTTTGATGAATATATTGTCCTTCACGAAATGCTATATGACCATAGGAACCTCATACAAGTTTGCGAGTCAAAAATTGTATACTATACATGCAATATTTCGTTTTCAAGTATAAATTCCAAGCACAACAATTTATAAAAAAAATATTGAAATACATATTAGATATCTATAAACATTTTCAATATATATAAATATTGAATTATTTGAGGGGTGTGCAATTAATGACCATCATTAGACATTTGGTGCTACCAATTTTAGAGGTCATGCAAGCAAAAATCAATATTGTGTTAACCTGTTGAGCTAGTAAATCTAAAATGAAAGTATGCACAGTATTCATTCTATATGTGTCAATTTAAGGCAACCAAATTTATGAACAATTTAATTTAATTGCCAAATCAAGATCTTCAATCTGTCTGAAGGTGAAGTGTTCTTAGAAGTAATCGACAATCAATAATGAAGAAGTACCAATGGGCACGTAATTAATGATCTTGGGCTAGTAACTTTGTTATTGCCTTAAGGCTCTGGAATAGTAGCATTTTTTTTTCAATTGCACACCCCTGTATTCACTATCAATGTCATCTTCCTACAAAAATAAAAAAAATCTTACACATAGACATATTTCAAACTATTGCAAACAAAATACACAAATTAAATATCATTTTCACATAAATTATCATCAAAACATTAAAACAGTAATTCATGAGATACCCGAACTTACTGCTAAGAATTTCTTCAATTCCTCCTCAAGGCTTTTTGATCATTTTAAATTACAGACTTCCATGTGCTTCTTTAGAACACTTTTATAACCAAATGAGCTGCCACATAGCTCACACTTAAATGCCCTCTGTCCTGTATGCTTGATTTCATGAATTTTGAGAGCATACTTGCTAGCCATCTGTTTGCCACAGATCTTACAATTGGGGAATTCCTTAGACTTGCTTTTCTTGGGGTCAGGATGAAATCTCTCCATATGAAGCTTCTGTCCATATCTGGTACTGAAATCTTTGTGGCATATTGAACATTTTATTAATTGAGTTCCCATGTCTTTCATTTGCATTGCAACTTGATCTGCAAACATGGATAAATGCAAAGCCAAATCTCCTTGGCCAAATCCAGTTGGAGGAAGAGGGCTGTATAAACTCTCATTTGAGACAAGAGGGTGCATTCTTTCACTTCTTGGATCCTGGGGAAAAGATACTTCCCCACTGTCGTGACCATCTGAAAATGCGTCAGAATCCTTCCTATGGCTCTCATCTGAAGAAAACCAAACAGATGCCTCAGTTTTTGGAAGGGCTTATCATGCCTAAATGCTCCTTGTTTCTTAGTTGATGCTCAAATAGTGAATTGTAATTTTTCTAATGCAGCTGAATGCTAAAAACTTTATTTTATAAAAATTCTTGGAAAGTGCTTGCATTTACAGAGAGAAGATATACATGTAATACAAGTAAGCACATGTAGTATATATTCACTGAAACTCTTTATTGCAAATTCACACAAATCATGCTGATTACAAAGATAATAACTTAATTAATACAATCATGTATGTTACATGACTGAAAACACTTTTAAAATATTAATACTGGATTTTTATGAACATACATGTACAGAAGTGCTTAAAATAATGCCATGTACATATACAAATAAAGTGAAAATTCATTCAGGGTGATCTGATTAGGGTAAGACACAATTCACATCTTAAAAAAATATAGTATAATTGTGTAATGGGAAAGGAGAAAATGTATGGCTGGACCAGGAATCGAACCTGGGACCCTTGTATCACTGGTCAGATACTCTATCAACTGAGCTATCCAGGTCGAAATCCACAGCCCAATCCATTACATTCCTCCTCCTTAAATTGTCTTCGCCCTCGAAGACACAACCCAAGTTCTTATTGCCCCTGGCAGCACTTTCACCTGCAAGTCCTGGGATGGTCAACGGCACCAAATTATGTAACAGGAAAGGAGAATATGTATGGCTGGACTGGGAAGCAAACCTAGGACCCCTGCATTGCTAATCAGGTGCTCTACCTACTGAGCTATCCAGGCCAATATCCAGAGCCCAAACCATTACAATTGTTCAGGTAAATTTCATTTTATTATTTAAACTAATATTGTAACGAAAAACTTCCTACTTGCATGCAAAAAGAGATATTAACACTACATCACACAAGTTTCCACACTTTCCATGCATGAGCTGTCAGTCTTCAGCAACTGTTTCATTCTTTTGAATAGTAATTGTGTAGAAAACCAGTGCTGGACTTTGGTCACCCACTTGGAAGACAAAACAAGAATCTGAATTCTATGAGACCTACCTGCTCTGTTGATCTGCCTTGGAGACAATTCTCCTAGAGGTGAGTTCTCTTCTGTCGACAGTGAGATGTTACTAACAGACCAATCTGCTGGAGTTATCTGCCCTTCATTACGCTGAGAAGTCTCTGGGTTTTGGAGCTCAGTGTAGTGGTCTGGATAAGATGAGTCTTCAGGTTCTGTTTTCACAATAGTAATGTCTTCTCCAGCACAAAGGTCAACCATTGTACCACGGAAATCGGGGCATGGCTGACTGTAACTACAGTTTTAATATAATAATTCAAATCTAGACATGAACATAGACATAAGATTTTCAAAAAAAAAAAATTTCCTAAGAAAAAAAAGGTATAAACCCTATGTATAGGTATTTATCCATGGCAAAATATTTTCAAGAACTGAAGAAAACTTGAATTGTCCATAATGGACAAATACCCCCCCCCCCCCCCCCCCGGCTTTTCCAGAAAAGATACCAAGTTGGTAAAAGCATGTTATGGATCTAGAGGTGTGATGCACTGTTAGTCTGCATTTTTGTAGCTGATATAATTGCATATATGTGTCACTACCGTTAAAAACAAAGATTTTTTTTTTTTAAGAAAAAAATTATTATGAAGGTGGATGCATCGTTGGATACCCACAGGTGGTCTCATCTTTTTTACTCATCACCCATGGACAAATTTGTTGTTTAAAGACAACCAATCAGACAGTTGGAACTCTTCAATTTTGAAAATAAGTTTACAAGTTTGCTATTTATGGTAATATCATGGCACCGTTAAAACATGCAAATTTTGTTTTTAAAAGAAAGATAAAAGACATATACATATCACTGGCATTAAATACCATTCAGGAATAATATATGAGTACCTTTCTGAAACTGCTAATTGCACTGGCGAGTGGATTTGTTTGCAATTGGTGTAAACTACGGAAAAGTGTCATTGCCGAACATACCGGTACATACATGAGTGATTGATAAAGATCAATTTTGCTTAAAGTTTTTATAATAAACATTTGTCATATTCTCAAAAACTTTTCTTGAAATAATTACAATTAGAGTACCTTCTTTCCCCTTCTCCAAATTTTCTTTGGGAATTCTGTTTTTGTGATCCAATCTTTTGTACAGATGAAGATGACCCTTGGTTTAACTGCTTATCTTTCCCCATACTGGCAGTAAATGAAACACTAGAATCAGAAGAACTATGTGAAATAGAGTCACCAGACTGCAGCACTTCCATGTGTGTAACTGGGATGGTATCACTTTGTAAACCTTCTTGTATGACTTCATCTGGATTAGAATCTACTGTCTGTAAGGATCGGACTTCAGAAATACAAGGTGTGGAAAATGGAGAAACTTTAGACAGATCAACAAGACCTGTTTCACACAAAGGATCAGGGGTAGGAACATTCGCTGAGGTAGATATTTCTCTGTGGGTCTTCGTAAAATCAATCATTCCTTTGTCTGTGGAAGTGCTGGACTGTGTTGTAAGAGACAGAGAAACAGTCTGTGGGGGAACTGTTTTTGACACTGTTTCCCTTGATGGGGGAACTTGGAATAATTCAATCCCCTCTTGTCTAACACCACTTTGTGACTGAACATATCCCTGCCAAGATTCTTGCTGCTCTGTACAACTGTCATTGCTTGTATTATCAAAGGGTTCACTTATTCTGGAGGCCGACTGTCTAAATCTCTTTGATTGAAGACTGCCTGAATTTTCAAAAGCCTGTGAACGCTTTTGAGAACATTCCTGAACTTTCATTAGCTTTGTGATTCGGACATGTTTAAAATCAGCCTGATCTGAAGGTCCATAAATATAGGGACTGGATGAGGACAAACACTTATTAAAGTCGGCACAACAGTTGATGATGTTGTCCATATGTAACATCCGAGCTAGCCTCTCCACCTGCCTGCAGTTTTCCTCCGTTAACATCAGAAAACCCTCATAGAGATACTGTAGAAATGTTATGATAGACTCTCTACAGATATCAGATGTGACTCGGATTTCTAAATGTGAGCCTGATGTGGAATTCTCCATGGACTGTAGCATTGGACAAGAAGCCACTAAAACTACTCTATGTGCCTGAAAGACAGAGATACCATAAAACTTTTAATTCTTTCACTTCCCCTAAAATCGATAGTAGCTTAGATGTGGTCAGTTGCATGTTCTTAACATTGTAGACAGACCAAAGACATATTTAAAGTGTCTGATATCACTGATGTCTACTTTAAAAAAAACATGAGAAGAGATAATTTGTAAAACAATGAATTCTTGTTGTTAATTCTTTAAAACATACATAAATAATGGTTAATTTAAGAATACATGACATTTGTCAGTGTTTGAAATAACCATGCGCCCGACCGCCTGAGATGCACAAATTTTGCCGCGGACAAACAGATTTGCACGTATCAACGCCTGGCTGGACGTGATAAAATTTACCATGAATTAAAATTCATACATTTGATAAATATCTCTCAAAACAACTGATAGTATCGGTAGGTAAATGTAACAAGCAAAGGGTAGAATTCAACAGCCTATAGATTTGGGATGGAAGTTATGGTGATCGTGCCCCATTCACATTATCGTTAAAACATATATATAAAAGACTTTTATTTTCTCGGGCTAGTTGAGTTTTGGCTGGGCTGACAACTTTCACTAGCAGTCAGCCCTGCATGACTAGCTAATTCTATCTGATCTAGTCAATAGAAGATTTTCCTTAAATTGGTTGAACCTACCATAGAAAATGACCTAGTATGTAAAACCCTTACCCTGACTAGAGTAGTGTCTGATTTGATGACAGCATCACAAAGAGTCTGTTTTTTCCACATGGCACACAGCTGTGATTGGAGGTTGCTGGATTGCACATGGTTCATGTAGATTTTGTGGTAACTGGTCATTATTAATGATGAGCACCACCAATACAAATACGCCAATCTGAAAAAAAAGAATGTAAATACATAATTATTGGTAATGTTCAACTTAATTGGAGTAAAATTTTCTTGAGCCCATAGTCTTGTTTAGATTAAAACTAAGTTTAAATGCAGTTCAAACTTGTAATCTTGATACTTTGTTTTAATGGGCTTATGATGAAGTATTACAAAATATGCAAAGTGCAGTTCTCTGTATTTGTTCTTTTGGGAACCCTACAAAATTGACAAAATAGTTGTTCTTAGTCAGTACTGAAGTTAGGGATGGGTATCGCCAAAAATTTTGTATTGTGATATATCACGATTTTTTCCAAAAGTATAATGATAAACATGATAAAATCATGATATTTTCTCACATAATTTTTACTTTGATTTTAAATGAATTTCCATGATTTTTCTAACAAATATAGTGTGAAAACATAACTTCACTTTTTTCACTTTTATTTAGGACCATATACATATATTAATAAAGCACGTTTAGATGCTAGGATGCCGTTGTTTTACTATTTTACAACATTTTTTACAGTTCCTGTAATTGTAGTTTAAGAGTTTGAACAAAATAATTAATTATTTCCAGAATTTATAATTACATACTGAATACTGGTATTTTAGTCTCCATATCACAACACATATCGCTCACTAAAAAAATCAGGATATACCGGTATACCAAAGCCTCTAAAAAAAATTATTTTTAGTTACCATAGCAACATTAGTTGTAGAAATCAAAAATTGATATAAAGAATTATGTATCTTAGTATAATCTACTTGTGTACTAAATCTTATTAAAACTGGATCAAAACTGTAGGAGGCATGGCATTTTTGAAAGATTTTCAAGAAATTTCTATTTTTAGTAATGAACAGGTCCACTTCAACGACTATTTCTACCTACATAGCTATTAATAGCTAAGTATATCAACCTACTTGAATTTCTATCTACTTTTACCTGTCTTTGAAAATAAAATTAAATAATAATTAAGGCACATCTTTTAAACAAGTCAAACTTGTTGTGTATCATTTTATGCACTTGCATGGCAAGGGTGTTAAATTGAAAACTTAACGAGGGTGGAGAATGGAGAGGAAATGTAGGAAAAATCATCCCCAAAACATTTTATTGTAGAATGCATGAAGATATTTAAAATTTGTGCAGATTACAGATTTGTGTAAGACATTTTAGGCTTCTTACCAAGTAGCTTTGATCTTTATCCCCTAGAAAATGGAATTGGTTGTAGTTGTTCACGAAAAATTGATAAGTTAGAAAGGTATCATTTTTTGGCCAATATTTTTTTGGTATTCATTGTCAATGTGAGTGCATCAAGAAATTTAGTACTCACCATATTGCACCATTCCCGTGTTTGGCCACAAAATGTAAATAAAGCAAAAAGTATATAGGTAAAATAGCTACCTGACCTGGAGTAGGTTTAAATACCTAGGTATAATTACTAGCTACGTAGATAGAAATAGTCTTTGGACTGGACCTGTTCAACATTTTGTGAAATTGCACACTTAATAAAAAGAATACATGTTAACAAAATTATAGTAGTGCATATTCATAATTTTATAGAAAGTTCAATTGTGATATTGTCCTACGGATCCGTTTTGTGGTTAGGACGTGTCCTAAGACATAAGTTAAGTTTATCCAACAGCTGTCTACATTGAATCTGTAAAAATAAAAATCATGAATACAGCAAATCATTTAATAGGTAATATCCTCTGCCATTTGCAAACCCACAATTCATTTTGCTGTTTTTAAAAAAGCATATTTTTTAAAGTATAGAATAAACCTACCTTTATGACTTACAATTAGTTAAATTACTTGAATACTTTTCCAAACGAACTTGAGTAACGCTATATTTCCGATTTCGGTTTTGATTTGCACCATGAAAGCGGCAATAGGTAAAACTAGTACTGTGAACTCCCGACTCTGTCTGTTTTCTATTAATATTCTTCATACCGATGGACAGAATCGCTTCTTCTTCAGGCACATTTTCAACATTGAAATACATTCATGCATTCCATATGTATAAATATGTGAACAATGTTCCATATAACATGATAAATTGAGACTTGATCAATGTTGATTTCCGACTCCCGATTGTTCCGGATTGCGAATTTTTATTATCAGGCTTCATTTCACCAAAAAGAATCTCCCTCAACTTCTTTGGCATATTTATTACGTCAACATTAATTTCCACATGCATTAATATATCAACAATGCTACGAATGTTAATGTCATTTGTCCAAAAGCGGTAAAATAATAATATACTACGAAGTTATAAATGCGGAAACCTGAAATGGACACTGATTCATCGAATTGCCAAATTTTAGTCCATAATGCCACCATTTATAATATTTTTGATATTTTCATTTTCATGTGAATTAAGTTCAACAATGTGCAAGAAAAATATGAACCGAATCTGTTAAGCGGAGAACCGAGAGAGTCGGGAGTTTGATGGTACTACATTTACCGCCTGCCCATGAATGGTGTAACCAAATACCCTAAAGAACAAAAGAAAATATGGACATACTAAAGACCCGACTATTCTGATCAACATAAATAATAAAAATGAATTTTTTTATGTTAAAGAAATAGAAGGTAATAAAAAGTACTTCAAAAATTGATTGATTTTTTTTTATGCTAAAAAAGTTCAACTTCCACATGCGAGGATGGGGGGGGGGGGGTGGCAATCCACTTTGTACATTTTACATTTGCCTCTCTTGGTTTTTGAAGTATATCTAATGCACAAAGATATAAAGGTATTTTCGTCTCATTTTTATTTATTATTTCCAATCTACGTGACCACTAAAAATTATATGAAAGTACTTTTTGTATTATATATTGCCCGGTGAAAATTCTTTATGATATTCTTTTTTTTTTTCCATTGACGTTTCATTGACGTTATTTACAGTGATTGATTATAATAGGTGAAGTCTGAAAGGGGAATATCTTCTCTTAGTAGGAGCCCTGGCCTGCCCAGCACTTGAGTAAATGGTCCAGACTCAGTAGGAGCCCTGCCCAGCACTTGAGTAAATGGTCTAGAATTTTATTTTTTTTTTTAAATCTGGTAATAAAAATCTGGTACAATTGCTTACTAAATATAAATCACTTATTATTCAAGATAACTTCTGTCTTCTCGCGAAAATTTTAATTCTCGAGAATATTTTTAGTACAAAAGATTATATACAACAATAACCAGGAATAGCGAAAATTATGTCTCGCTTATAAATACCAAATGGCCATCTCGCGAAATTAAAATGTCGCGAAAAGTTGGTATCTTCAGTATTACGTTGTACTCTGTCCCCTAGATGCCCTGGAGCAGAAAATGATTTTCAAAGACATTATGCATTTTCACTATATAATCAACAGAGCCCCGTCCTAACACCAGAAACCTTTTATCTAGGGGCCACAAAATTCACAATTTTGGAAGAGGCAACCCTACTAATCATTACCATGCTCTTAGTTTATATGCTAAATACCCAGAAGTTGAGAAGAAGATTTTCAAAGAGATAATGCACATTTACTATATAATCAAAATAGTCCTACCCTAACCCCAGAGCCCCTGACCCAGGGGTCATGAAATTCAAAATTTTGAAAGAGGAATTAATCTACCTTACTTATCATAACTATGCATTTAGTTTGTTTAATATCTAGGAGCAGAGAAAAAGATTTTTAAAGAAACAATGTACTTCCACTATATAATCAATAGCCCCCCCCTCCCCTAACCGTGGGGTCACAAATTTCACAACTTTGAAAGAGACACCCCTTCTTATCATTACAATGACCTAGTTTATCTGCTAAATGTACAGTAGTAGAGAAGATTTTTGAAGAATTTATGCATTTTCACTACATGATCATTATAGAGCCTCACCCTAACTCCAGAACCCCTGACCCTGGGGCCATGAATTTCACAAGTTTGGTAAAGAGGGCTCAATGCTTATTACAATCCTACCAACATATATTTGAACTGCTTGATATCCAGAAGTAAAGAAGAAGATATTTTAAGATTGCATTAATTTTGATGGTTTTGGTCCCATCCCTCAGGCCCCAGGGGGCAGGGGCCATGAAATTAACAATTGTTGTTTCCCTTCACCCATAGATGCTGTACATGCCAGATTGGTTGAAATTGGTTCAGCGGTCCCAGAGAAGACGAACATGAAAAAAGAAGGTTTACAAAACTCAAAATTATTAATCGGAGGGGGTTCAAATCTCATATATATATATATATATATATATATATATATATATATATATATATATATATATATATATATATATATATATATATATATATATATATATATATATATATATATATATATATTGGGGGGGGGGGGTTACATTAACGGGGTGCACCATTCTGCAACAAAAAGTAGGGCAGCATTTAAACGAAAATTTACATAAAAATATACTCTTCTCAAAAAACAAAAATTGAGGAGGTACCCCCCACCCCCTTTTTGTATTACTTGCTTGTGGGAATGTAATTAGCAAATTTAAGTTGTTTGTATATCTATAATTTGGCAAATAAAAGACATCCCCCCCCCCCAACACACACACAGAGGTTTAAACAAAATAAATTCATTATTTATCTCTGTATGGCGATCCTTCTTTATTTTGTTTACTAGTATTTCATATGTTGAAGAAATGACTTAATTAAAAATGCACCATGCAGAACCCACAAAATGGTACCCATCAAATTTATAAAAGAATTTCTGGCTCTGAGAAGGGGATACGGCCCTCACAGACTCTTCCTCGCACTGACCCCCTTTTCAGAAATGTGGAGACGGCCTTGGATATGTATCACCGAGTTTATGTGTATAATCAATGCATGTAATAAAATTTTCATAAATTAATCCAATGAACAATGCAATACATATCAAGAATAGGGCAAATCACATGCAGACCCCTAGAAACACTAGAGGTGCATGGGATCAGATACCCCAAAGTAGTAAGCATCCCCTGAACGTCCGGTTACACACGCCTTGAGTCCATTATATTGATCGCCAGGATAAACGCGGAAAATAATTATCCTGATATGAAAACAATGGCCTAACAATTGGTATGAAACATATCAGTCAAATTTCGACACAATGATAGGTTGTACGTACACGTACATCTATTTGCAAACAAGGTCATTATAACGGCAATATAAAGTTTATGAAATGCTGACTTTCGTGAGATTTTTGAAACCCCTGTGAAATCAACATATTTTTCAGGAGCCTCCCTCCGTTTAAAGTTGAGAATACACAGAATATGCTCTCGGCTTGCGTACCGAATCAGCTGAGAAACATTTAAACGATTTGTAGGTGATATTGGAATATGGCTACTTACAAGTGGGAATTCATCCCACTTACGTATTTAGTTCGTCATTGACGTCTATATTCAGTATATGTAATATACTTGGGAAAACTCTGTGGTGTTATATTTCGATTTTACTGTCCTTCGGGTATATAAAAGATATAAATTAAAATAAATACTGAGTATTGTATATTTAGATTTCAAAGGCCATAGCTACAGTCATGTAGATGTGACGGAGAGGGTTCTTCTCCTTACGGAGAATTTAAAAAAAAATAATAAATTCGGCTTCATAAGCATAAAAAAAAACTCGACTAACAATTAAAGGTGCACAATTTATATTCTTATGGCAATTTCAACAAATTGTTGGAAGAAATGGTCTCCGAAGACTACAAAAAAATTGTCTTAGATAAACTCTTGTATCATCTGTAGAGCACTTGGGAATAAATCAGAATGATTTGTAACAAATGAAGTAATTTTCAAATCTTAACAGGGAAAACATCTCAAAATCAGCTCAAAGTCCTATTTTTATTGAAGAATTTAAAAGCATTGTCTGTGATTTCCAAAATCTTATTCTTTTATTTATCTCAGGGAATGGTCTATAATTTATAAAGTTGGGAGAGAAACATTTTTGTGATTTCAAATATACTGTTTTTGTTTTACTGCGAGTCCGCATTTGATTTACACCATTTCTTGGATATGTTGTGCAGCACAGTTCGATCGTCCGAAGTTTCTTTGCGCCTAGGTAATATTTTGTGTGGAATACATATATCGTTTTCTATTTACTGGACACTTGTATGCATTTAAAAAAAAATGGAATAAAATTTCAACCTCTAAATCACTACCAAAAAAAAAAAAAAAAAAAAAAAAAAAAAAAAAAAAAAAAAAAAAAAAAATATATATATATATATATATATATATATATATATATATATATATATATATATATATATATATATATATATATATATATATATATATATATATATATATATATATCACAGAAATCTGTAAAACAGTTTGTCAGTTTGTAAAAAATATTTAGCACGAAAATCTCCTATCAAATCAGCCTTTGTTTTCAATGCAAAAACATGAAAAAATCAAATTAATTTACTCTAATATTTTACTATTTTACAACGTAACAAATTAATATGAACCTGAAAACAAACAAATATTAAATTCTCCCAAATAAATACAAATTTAATCTAATTGTACCACGTAACAAATTAATATGAACCTAAAAAAGAAAAAAGAAAAAAAAAGTTGTGTTAAATCTCCACTTTCTCCAGAATTTCGAGTATTATTTTTAGTTGTCTCCCTTTGACCGGATGTAGTTTACAAGTCAAAAAGATTCAAAATGGCCGACTTGAAATGAGAGAGGCTCGATTAAGAAATTTTCCGGTTCCTTAGGCGATGTCCCGCTTGGCCGACTACTTTATCGTGATTGGATATGATCACGATAAAGACAGTAAGTATTTTCAATTATTTATTTGATTAAAAGAAAAAAAGCAGTGTACACATTCTTGTTAAATGAAAGTCAGTCCGAAATGCCTCGTTTATGACATCTCTTTAGTT